ATGAACTACCCCCCGAGATCCGGATGATTCCGGATCTCCTTACTTTCCGCCGCGCCCTCAAGACATGGTTTTTCCAGCAAGCGGGCCTGACCTAGGGAGGATTTTAGGTAGGGATAATTTTAAAAGTATTTTAATCGGAAACACAGCTGGTAATATTTGGTTTTAATTCGGCTTTTATCGGGGTTTATTTTTATTTTTTATTTTTTGTATTTTTGTATTTTTGTATTTTGTATTTTTTGTATTTTGTGTATATTATTTGTTTTTAATATGCTGTGAACCGCCCTGAGTCCTATGGGAGAAGGGCGGTATACAAATTAAAATAATAATAATAATAATAATAATAATAATTAAGACATAAGTTAAATAAGGCAATTCCACAAAAATGCTTAGACAAAATAATATTTAATCAGTACAGATAATCCTTGAATTGCTACCATTCGTTAGTTGATTCAAAATTACAATGGCTGAACAAAGGGACTTATGATCTATACATGAAGTTATGGCTCCTGCAATACCCCTGGGTTCACATGAATAAAATTTGGCCACTTGGCAACTTGCCTGCCCTTATGACAAACAGCAAGGACATTGTAGTTACTCCTTGGGTGCATTTCCCATCCAGCTGGGTCCCCCCAGGCCTTGGACCTGCTTCCTGCTCTGCTGGGACCCACACCTTTGGGCCTCCCATGCCCCATCATGTCTCGCTCCACTTATCTCTTCTGAAATTCGCTTTTCCAGGAAAAGCAGCTGATGTGCCATACAGCACACAACTTCTGTATAAGGAAGGCCTTGCAGTGCATTGACAAGTTTAGACCATCTTCATTCTGGTGCATTATATCTATTACATCTGGTGCAAAGAACATACCTGCTTTCTATCACTAATTCATTTTATTCATTACTCTTTTCTTGAAAACACTTAACTTTTCTTATGTTTCTAATTGCAGACTTCCAAATAACTATTATGGTTTGATCAAATCTGATTTCTTATAAAGCTTTTTAATAGGATGGCAATTAGATTACATTAACCATATTAGAAGTATTTGTGGCATATACAGCATTCCCTATTAATGTTAAGCTCAGAACTAATAAATTTTTGCACATGTTGTCCAGTATTCCTCATGTACAAATGAAGCTCAGTTTTTACGTCAAGCATGTTAGTGTTGTCTATGCAATCAATGATTTCTCATCTAGAGATATCTTATAAGCCAACATATGGGACACTAGGGCATAGCTCTTTAGATTGGCCCCTATCCAGTTCAATAAACTAATAATTTAAGTTCAATTACAAAAAAAAAAAATCTCAATCCCCAGTGATTTCAGCAGTGTTTGAAATGCAGATTGTAATTATTCAGTGATTCAGAATTGAAGGGTAAATGTGACTTGAAGCATGAATGAGCACCCATATAGCACTGTTTGGAATACAGGTAGTCCTTGATTTACACTTCAACTGGGACCAGAATTTTCATTGCTAAGCAAGGTGGCTGTTAAGTGAGCCACATCTGCTTTTATGATTTCTTTTGCTATAGTTTTTAAGTGAATTACTGCAGCTGTTAAGTAAATAATGCAGTCATTAAGTGAATTTGATTTCCCATTGACTTGATTGTCGGAAGTTGTCTAAGAAGGTCACAAATGGCAGTCATATGACTTCAGGATAATGCAACCATTGTAAATACATGTGGGTTGCCAAGTGTCCGAATTTTGATCATGTGACCATGGGGATTCTGCAGTGAACATAAGTGAAAGGACCAGTGGTAAGTCACTTTAAAATATCATTGTAACTTTAGATGGTTGCTAAATGTTTGTAAGTTTTGAACAGTCTTGTTTTATCCCAGGATTGAGGGGCAGCCTTTGTGACTGACATAGCATCTCAGGAACAGACACATTTAGCTGAAAGTGAAAAGGTATATCCATCGAAAGTGAAAATGCATACCCATCGAGACTTCAAATTACATTTGGTTGTTCAAATCTAGATCTGTAGCTATAGTATCCACTGTCAACTACCAGGCAGTAATGTCCCATACAGTACATTATCTGATCATATTAACTAGAGACATAATGTATTTCCACAAAGTAGCCTAATAAGATTAAAAAAGAGAGAGAAAATGTATCTAATATAATAATAGATAAGAATGAAATTACCCACCAGTGTTCTCTCAAAACAAAACATATGTTAACTATTAACAACCTCATGATCCCTGCACTATAGCCTGTGACCACAAGGGAAAGTGGGCTGGAACACTAAACTGATTATTACTGTGGAACCAACTTACAGAAGATTTTCATTTTAAAAAAAAAACAAAACATCAGGGGTCCCCAAAACATCAGGGGTCCCCAATCTCCAGTCCATGGACCAGTACCAGGCTGCGGCATGCCAGCAACCGGTCCGCACAAACAAGCAAAGCCCCATCTGCGGAATGCACACAAAACCACTCACTCTCTGGTCTGTGGAAAAACCTTTCTCCACAGAACCGGTCCCTGGTTCCCAAAAAGTTGGGAACCTCTGTTCTACATAGTTACTAAATACCTAATCAGTTATTTAAAAATTGTTATCAGAAAAAAATCCTCTAAATTCTCAATAGAGACAGCAGAAAATTTTCCCCTGCTTTTACAAATATTGGATATATAGCCAACATCTCGAATTACTTGGTTGAGTTGAACAGATATAGAAATTACTAATTAATTAATAGGACAAAGGGGGAAAGCTAATCTTTCTCACCAACATGTTGAAACCCTTACATTAGTGGTTCTTAGTCTGCGGATCTCTGGGGTGCTGTGATGTAATCACAGGGGGTCCACGAAAGCTTGAAGAAATGTTACGATTTAAATATTGAGTTATATTTTGGGGGTCATGCCCATGGTCCATGGCCCCAAAAGGTGGTCCATGGTGAAGAAAAGGTTGAGAACCTGATATGCAGGTTCTGAGGTTTTGCTTGATAAAGAAATACAGGAAACCAGAAGGTGCCTTTAAGTTTTACGTTTTTATTCAGCTGAATAGAGACGGACTCCTCTAAATGAGGGGAGCAACGAATGACAAGAAATCCTTGTATTTATTCTGTATAATTACATAATCAACCCATCTAGCAAAGCTGACACACATAAGATAAAGATTTCACCCAGTAAGTCTGGTACACTGTAGATAAGAAGGGAGAAAGCAGAAGTAGCTAAACATGTTCCCATTCAGGTGTTTCCCTAAAGAGATTGTATGTTCTTGGGTGGGTTAGGACATTGGGTTTCATGACCCTGCATCCAGGACTACAAGTGACCAGAGACAGAGGGGCCATCTGTATATTATTAATACTTAATAATATATTAAGTCCTGGTCAGCAAACCATTGCACTACATCGACGCAGAAACTGTACTTCTAGAAGTTTCCAGAACAATCCAGATTCATTCTTTTCAATCAGCACTCTGAAACTGAGTATAAGTATTAGATGAAGGGCTCCAGAGATAGACTTATGGGTGAACAGCCCAGCCTTCCAACTGCAGCCTCCCTATTCTGCTTTTGTAATCAGGGTCTCTTTCTACCTGAGAGAATTCTCATTTGTAACAATACTATTCTTCATTTTTAGGCCAGACTTATTGACACTCAGAATGTTTGCTCATTTCCTAAGGGCACCTGTTGGCACCTGGGCTACTGAGCCTTTGCTGTCTTCAGAATATACTGTGGCTTTTCCAGAGGTTTAACCAATTAATAAAATATCTATCCAACCATCCATCCATCCATCCAGGAAGAACATGGCAAGAAACAGAATCTAAAAAACAAAACAAAAACCACCACCAACAACAATGTAGTTACTCTGGCTAATCTTATTTATTGCTAATATTTATTTACTGTAAAATTGAACAATTTGGAAACAGAATTTTTTAGAGCAATCCACCTTGATTCAGGTATCTTTCCCAAATCAATGGTTCAGAGTATTCCAGATGTGTGGTTGCAAAACACCTCTTTTGAATGTTTTGCACAAACCTTATAGCTAATTTTTTGGAACTGAAGCCAACACATCTAGAGGTTATCCAAATTTAGGAGACTTTAATACATAAATGTTAAGTGACTCTTCATGACTCTTTCAAGTTAAATTATACTTTTAAGCATACACAGGAAATAGTACCTTTTTCATGCTTATGTTCTTAAACATGTATTTTGCATTTTTTTTTAAAGAGAATGTGACTCTGCAGATAGTAATGTTTCTCTGCATCATATTACACTACATGAAAGATATGTCCTTTTTAAAATTATGAGCCAAATCTTGTCTTGGAAATGTATCATTTGGAGCAAAATAAAATAAAACTACTTCCATGCAATTTAGAAAAATGTCTTGAAACACAGAGCATCTCAAACACATTTTGAAATTAACAGAGCTTAATGGTCTTTTATGTGGAAGAACCAATAGTACATTATTGCGGTTTATTGTTATGCTATAAGATAACTAACTAGAACAAAATATTGTTTTAGTATGAAATAAGGTTATGTGATTTGTTAGATTAGAAAAATCAGTATTGTAATGGAATTAGAGTTGGAACATGCATACACAAAAATATCACTTTTTCAAGAAAGATAATTCTGAAACACTAGCAATGTGGTGAAATTCAAGGAAACATGGAATAGACTGTTGGATTCTCCATGAAAGTATAAAATTTGGAGCCCAGAAGACTGTACTGGAAATGGAATGTGCCTTTAAACAATGTCCATATTTACTAAAAATATATCACATTAGAATTTTTTTCAGAGATCATATTTAATTTTATTTACAGCTTATTGGGATCTTTTGAAAGCCTATATTGATTTCTTCATTAAGTTTGGTCAACCAAGTCTCTTTAGTTTTATCTATGAACTTAAAAAGCAAATTGAAGAATCTGAAACAATGTGTTTACATTATAAAAGGAATGTCTTGTTTTTCAGATAAGAATAAATAAAAGATGATGGAAATGTGTAAGTAACATACAGTATGTGTGTCTGTATATGTGTGAGAGAATGGGAAGTGTTCAAGTTTATAAATGAATATAAACAACAATTTATTTCTTTAGTAAAGCCAGGGATGTCTCCAGAGGCAGTTTCCAGACTAGAAAAATAACTTTGTTACCTGATGAATTACTCAATGAACAGATTTTGAATCAATTTTCTTAAGAAAAGGTCCATAAAAGCAAAAACGAACCAGATCCTCCTATTGACTTGACATTTATATGTAACTACTCCAGTGGTAGGATTCAGCCGGTTTGCACCAGTTCAGCAGAACCGGTAGCTAATTTTTTGTTGCCCAGGCCCAGAATGGACTTCCAGAAGCGGCATCCACACAGAGAATTGGTTGTTCACATATTTGAATCCCATCACTGAATTGTTCCTAATACATATATATGTATGTACATTCCCTGAGATAGTTTAAGCACGAGTGTCATATGATCACAATTTGCATGCTTGGCAGCCATCTCACAATTACAATGTCACAGCATCCCCCAGTCACAGGATCACGATTTTTAACCATCAGTGACAGCTTCCAAGAAGCAAAGTCAATGGAAAAGGCAGCAGATGGGTTGCAAATGGCAATCTTATGACTGCAGGATGCTGTGACCATGCAGGATTCCTCCAACACCAACTGGAATGTCTGCAACTGCCATTGTAAGTTGGCACAGTCATGTGACATTGCACTTTATGTGTGTATCACTTAACAGTGGAGTTGCCAGTCCAAACTGCCATAGTTGAACAAGGACTAGCTGTAGTATGAATAATGCAATGGATTAGCATGTTTAAAAAAAACTATTTACATATAAGATTTTTCACTGATAAACATTTGCATTTTATTTTACATGTTTGGTCATGTAATGTGTATATTTTGATTTCATATATATAAACATGAATGGATTCATTCAAAATAATCCTTAAAACACTGGCAAAATTCAGTCTACTGTACATACACTTCTAGGAAAATAGGGCATAAAATGCAATTTATTTATGTAATTTATGCAAGGCATACATGTAATACTGCATATCTGCATTCCTTTCTCTTCCAGCAAATGAAACTAAGCCCACATCATCACCTCCAGAATATTCAGGACCAGCTTATTCAGTTCCACAAGTCCAATATCCTCAGTATGGGCCTGCCGTTCCAGGTAATAGAAATCTTTATTATAGTCACTGATCAGAATTTTGTAAGTTAACAAAAATAAAGTAACAGAACAGTTTCTATTTCAAATAATTAAAAAACACCCTTAAAATTGTAAGTCATTGAAGGGATTGGGGTGTTGTATATTATTTGTCCTGTACTTTATAAATTGTTCACTCAGCATTTCATCCTTCCTTGGTTGGTAAAATGAGGAACAGATTGTTGGGGGCAATATGCTGACATTGTAAATCACTCAGAGAGTGTTCTAAAGCACTATGGAGTAGTATATAAGTATATAATAATGCTATTACTGTATTGTCTCATTCTATTGTAATTGATGTAAATAATCATAGCATACAGAGTGTAGTTTATATAAAATAAATACATATTCTTATTTCCATGCTTTTTCTAAGGTCACTTCAATCCCTTAAGACCATAAACTGAGAGATAATTCTTGCTCTAAAGAGACCTAGGTGAATGAATGCTTTTGTTATTTAGTTATGATTCCAAGTATAATTGCAGCATTGGAAATTTTATTTATTTGATTCAGTTTTATATGTCTGATAATGGGCACCATATAGGAACAGTATAATAACAAAACCAAATTAGGACAAATTAAAAAGAACAACAAGGTAGTAAACCCATCACATATTCCAAAATATTCCATCAACTTCTAACATCCAGAAGGCCTAGCCAGACCCTTGATCTGTTCAGAAATGTAAATATATATATTTTTACCTGATAGATCCATGTTAGACTACAGCTTTAAACATAAAGAGTGCCTGATCTCCACCCCAGGAAGTAATAAACCTTCTTGCTTAAAATGTATAGTCACAAATAATAAAGGTGGACTGTGTTTCAGATCTTTGGTGCAGGGGTAGACACAGATGTTATAGCTGTAGGGCCCCATTTAAGAAGCCAAGTCTTTTCCTGGATTCATGCAATAGCCATATGATCCTAGGAAAATGAAAGTTTGACACCAATAGGGAATGAGAAGATGCTTCAGAACAGGTACAGGTCTATGGTAAGAAGCTGATCTCAGATGCATTTTTCCTGGAACTGGGAGCTACTGTGTGAGTCCAGAAAAAATATAACTACTTTAGGGAAGTGATAAAAGAGTGCATGTTTATCAATCTTCAATTCAAAGAATCCTTTCTGTACTAAATATATTTTAGAAAAAAAATAATATAATCATTTATTGGGGGCTATCCAAAGTATTAGTTTGACAAAGTATCTCCTTTTGAAGCATTCAAGCAATTGCTTGTTTGCTGTTCTATGTGCATGAGAAGATAGTACTTATGCAGAGGCTACCAGATAAGTTGTGCACAGGAATAGTTTTTAATGCAATTATATAACAAGGCACAGCTGGTTTAGAGGTGCTTCTGGAAGACAGCATTTTGAATGTGGTACACAGTAGGACTATGCAATGCTTTGAACTGGATCATAGAATGGTATGTTGAAAGGCTCAGGGGCACAATGACTACACTTGTCTGCATCTCTATAAAATAGCTGAATTGTGATCCCAGGAAAAGACGTAATTGCTTTAAGGCATTGCAGACAGGTGCTATGTTCACACTCCAAAACATCTTTTGGGAATTGAAGCCAAAACACTGCATGTCTCTATTAATTAAACTCTGAGTGATTTTCAAATGTTCCAGCTGGTGCCATTACCTGGCTGATTTCATCTGCACTTGAAGCTAAGCAGAGTCATGCCTAGTTAGCATGTGAATGGGACACTACTGTACATGGTAATATTAGAGTTGTCTGCTAGACAAGGAAGGAAAAACAGAAAAAGAAAAAACAAGACGGAAGAAAGCAATGGGAAACCACTTTGATATTGCTGTAAAGTAAATGTCACAGTTATATCTGTGAAGTCCCTAGAAATCGAACTCAACTTAATGGCATATATATTTAATTTAAACCCTAAAGAGTTCAATCTTTTGGAGATCTCCAATACATATGACAACAATAAGGTATCACTCATTTGTCAAAATATTTGTTGCAGTTCCTTTCAAATTTCATCAGCCAAGTCCTTTGCACCCTCTAGTGGATATTTTGCCCTTTGTTGAAATGAAAGGGTGAGTGCTTCATTCTAGGCACATGTTTTCCCAGTAGTGCAGCTACTTTAATTTAATTGTTAACTTGGCATCAACAGTACATAATGTAGAATTATACTGTGCTTCATTGATACTTATGAAATGCCAAAGTACATCCAGATACTACAGGTTTCTAGAATAGGGCTTTCAGCAGTCTGAAATTCAAAAGAGTTGTCTGAAGTTTATTTTTTTTAAAATCCTCTTTAATTTTCTTAGTTCAAGTAAATGCACCGCCACCCATCATCTGGATGCCACCACCACCTCAAATCCCCAAGTGCCCTCGTGGACTGGAATATTTCAGCCAGGTATATCACTCTTATTTTCAGTTTATTTTCTTGTTCCTTTACAAAGAATTATGGGATCCCAGAAATACCGTAGTCACCAGTGAAATGTTAAATTAATTTTTGAACTAGGGAGCATATAGACAGTCCCTAATTTACAATAGTTTGTTTAGTGACTGTTTGAAGTTACAACAGCACAGAAAAAGTGACTTTATGACCGTTTTTCACACTTACGACCATTGCAGCATCCCCATGATCACGTGATCAAAATTCAGATGTTTGGCAACTGACTCACATTTATGACAGTTGCAGTGTCCAGGGATCATGTGATCGCCTTTTGAGAAATTCTGACAAGCAAAGCCCAGGGGAAGCTAGATTCATGTCACTAACTTAATAAGTGGAGGGATTCACTTAACAACAATGGCCAGAGAAGTTGTAAAATGGAGCAAAACTCACTTAACAAATGTTTCACTTAGTAACAGAAATTTTGAGCTCAATTTTGGTCATAAGTCAAAGAATATCTATATTCATTCTGAAAGAATTCTCACCATCAAGTATTTTTGCTGTGCTATTTTCAGTTTTTTAGAATATTTTTTTATATTAAATTGCCAACTACTTCCTTTAAATCATTAAGTCGATCCCAATCGTCTAAGGTTCAAAAACATGCTGATGGATTTTGAGAGTAACATGTCTCTCCAAACTACAGCACATTTGGGCTTGGCAGATCATGGCACTTCACTTTAAAATAAATCAGTGATGGATTGCTTTTATATTGCCATTTGTTGGTTTTGCACCCCTGAGCAATAAAAATAAATAATATTCATTTATTTATTCATTCATATTCATTTATTTGTTCATTCATTAACATTTTTAAGTATGTACACATGGGCAATGTAAGATTTGCCTACTCAGTTGTACAGCCAGTTGCAACATAAACAACTACCATGTTTTCCCGAAAATAAGCCCTCCCCTAAACTAAGATCTACCCTAATTTTTTTGGGGAGCTAATATAAGCCCTACCCAAAAATAAGCCCTGGTTAGGACCCTGCCCACTCTGTCCCACCTCGCTGCCACAATGGGGCAGGAGGCTATGTGGCATATTGCACCACTGCTTCCACAATGAGGCGAGGCAGGTGGGGGAAGGGTGGAGCTGCCCCACATGGCCCACACCTGCTTACTGTTACTTCAGCCCCGCCAGGCCATTCCTTGATCGGCGACCTTTTACTTCCCTCCCGAGCCGGACTCCCATGCTACGGTGGATGGGATGGGCGAGGTAGACCCGGTCCCCTTCCGTCATTTTGGAGCCAGGGGGAAGTGACGATGAACAGCTCCGCTGCCACTGTGCACTGCTGGAGGGACTTTCTTTAAGCTTCATCCTGCAGATCACCTGCCCCGGTGCAGCCACTGCCTCTTTGTCGTCCGCCAACTCTCCCGGCCGCCTGTCTCCGCCAGCTCTTTGTTGCCTGTCTCGCAGAAAATGGAGAACGCAGCAGCTCTGTGCAGGGATGCAGAGCAGAGCACAGCAATTGCTTGCTGCCTGCATTGCCCCACATCTCCCTTCTCCCTTCTGGAAATGGCAGCCCCATTTCCTGCCACTTCTCCTCCCGGCGCAGCTCCTTCCTCTTCCTGAAGGCATTTCTTTCCTAACCTGCTTTCCAGCTCTGGAGCGTTTCTCTTCTGCTGCAGGGAAACAGAGTTTGTGGGACTAAAAAAAGTTCAGTCAGACCTTCTAACTTCTCGCAAAATCTTCCACCATAGCATGGCAATCCAGCTCAGGAGAAAAGTGAAAGGTCGCTGATCAAGGAATGGCCTGGTGGGGGGGCTGAAGTGGATGCGGGGGCTCGTGGGGCAGTGGCACAATGTGCTGCGTGGCCTTCTGCCACAAGCAGCCATAGCAGAAGTGGGCCGGCAGTCATGTGAGTTGCTGGATGGAGTTGCTGGTGCTGCTGCCGCGAGGCAAGGCAAGTGTCACGAAAAATATAAGACATCCCCAAAATTAAGACCTAATGCCTCTTTTGAAGGCAAAAATAATATAAGACAGTGTCTACTTTAAGGGAAATACGGTAGCAATCTAAACCTTTGTGCAAGTGGAAGAGCAATTCCAATTGATAGCAGACCTGGAAAAACTATCACTTTTGGCAAAGATTGGTACTGTAGATTATCTCTTGGCACAATAATTATTCTTGAAATCGCTCAGAGTGCACAGAATTCTTTTGATGATGCATTGTATAAAATTCAGAGGATAAGTTAAATTATGTTCAGGCCAAGCACTGGAAATAGGTCCAGTCAGGGTATTGAAATCCTATCGTTACTCGGAAAGAACAGGTTTTGACACCATTTGGTCTTCCATGAATGCATGCAGTTTTGAGTATTTTTGATATGTATCTTCAGGAATTTATTTAAATATAATGAATGCAGAACAGCAATTAGGGACTGAATATATTTTGACATGTGCTGCCATTCTATCCTTTGTTTGGGGAAAGAAAAAAACACCAACAAAATAAGTAATATTTCTTCCTGGCTATAGCATGTATTACGTAATCTGAATAAATAACACTAATAAAATGGCAGAGTTATTAATCTTTTGAAAATATTTATAGTCATAGGATAATTGGTCATTTAATGTTTGTAAATATTTCTTTATTTTTTATGATTTCAACAGCTTGATCAGATAATAATTGAACAGCAGGTTGAGCTCATGGAAAGTATGTATGCTGCTTTATTATTTCAATAATTATTGGGGATTAGGAAAAGATATAGTTTTGTAAATCTGAAATATTTATTCATTGATATTTATTGACTGTGCATTATCTACATGATCCATAATAATACTTAGTCATTAAATTATTTGGAGTCTTACAATTATTTAGACATAAAATTAGGGAAGGGTGTATGGCAAAATTGTTTTTGCTTGGTCATGTCTGGCTTTATTCTTTTTAAGATTATATTGGAGACAGAGTTTATTTATAAATAGCCCAGAGTCATGCAAGTATGATAGATGGGATAAAAATGTGATAAATAAAAAAATAAATGTGTGAATGTAAACTTGTTAGGTGCTAGGAGAGAGCAGTAAGGATGGCAATTTAATTTATTTTTATTTATCAAATTTTGAAACCACCCATCTCCCTCACTAAGGGATTCTGAACGGTGTACAGATAAAAACATGAAAACATAAAAATGGTATATAAAATTTAAGGAGAGGCAAGGATGATTAAAATTCAATATTAACATTAATTAAAAGACAGGAGGAAGACTTTCAGGGCACAAACCAGCCCCATGGCTGCATGCTCCTCTGTGTGTCCCAAACAAGCCCACAGAACCATGTTTCCACACCTTTCTGAAAGGCTAGGAGAGTGGGAGCCTGTCTCACCTTGATGGGGGGGAAGTGTCCCAATGGCAGAGAAGGTGCTCTTCCAGGGCCCTGCCAGTCAGAATTCTTTGACTGATGGGATCCACAATATACCTTTCCTGCCTGACCAGATAGAACCGGCTGATGTAATTGGATGAAGCAATACTGTGTCATGTGTTAATGGAATTGCATTTTAGGGGCTGAAGCTGATTTCTCTTTTTTTTCTCAGGTCATATTAATGATAAACATTTAGATTCACTTAATTGTTATGCTTTTACTTCTTTTTCAGTGATAAGTGGCTTGGAAACTTGTAATAAGTATGAAATAAAAAATGCCATGGGGCATTGGGTATACTTTGCAGCTGAAGAAAACGATGACTTCAACTTGAACTGTTACGGCCCTTTGAGATCGTTTACCATAAAACTCTTTGACAGTACAAACCAACCAGTCATGCAATTGTCCAGGGATTGCCATTGCTCCATTTGCTGTTGTCCTTGTATTTGTTGCCTACAAGAGGTAAACAGCTTTTTCTTTCCTGTGCCCAACTTTTGATTCTTTCGGTTAAATCAGTTTCCTTATCATCAAGAGAACAGTTGTTGTGAATTCCTTCTAGTGCAACTTCCAACAACTTGGCAAGTCGTGTCTTTTGTTACATGTTTTGAGTATTTCAGAGGATTGATTTTACAGCTTTGTTTCAATTGGGAAGCTTTCTAACAACTAGATAGAGCAAATAAATATTTACAAAAGCTTTTTAAGCTTTTGAATTACCAGAAACCTATCATCAGGGAAGATAGTTAAATTTTCAAGAAGAAAGACATTGCAGAATGGGGATGTAGTTAATGTTATACTCTTTCACCAAATGTGAAAATAATTGTGAGGCAAGGAGATTGCAGAATATCAGGAAAACAAATAGTATTCTGTTACCAAGCAATAATTAGTGCCCTCCTTCATTTGTGGAAAAATTAAATTTAGCTACTAATGATTGCCTCTGTAATAAACAGATCCTTCTATTGTGTAAGGGCAGGACTGTTTTTTGTTCTGAAGCTACATTATCCTTTTCAAGTGATTGTTACAACTCTCTTCAGTTTATTTCCACATGAACACAGATTTATCTTGCTCCAAGCAACCCTTTTGCCTTAAAGCAGGGGTCCGCAACCTATGGGCCGCGGCCCAGGACCAACTGTGGGCTCTTAGCCAGTGGGCTGCGGAAATGGCTGACCAGTGCACACACAGGTGGGCATGTATTCTCACTTGCGGTGGAACCCGCGGCCCTGTTTGTGCATGTGCACGGGCACAAATGGGTCTGCTAGCTGCCGTGGGGTGCACGACCATTTGCGCATGTGCATGGCACCAGCACATGCCGCATGCGCAAATGGGGCCGCTAGTGCCGCACCAGTGCATGTGGCCCCGTTTGCATGCACACGTGTGCACCAATTTGGGAGCTGCTCTCCTTCCCTCCGGGCCGTGTGCCCAGAAAGATTGGAGACCTCTGTCTTAAAGCATGACTCTCCTATCAACTAATAGGCAAAAGGGTACCTGTTATACCAGACTACGTATGACACATACAAATATTAACATTAACATAACATAGAAAGAATAAAACTGTTTTTAAAATAAAACTTGTGAGATAATCAAATTCCTTGAGCCAGTCAGTCAGTCAGCAATGTGCTTCTACTGCCAAAATAGCCAACACAGTCCTAGGCTGCCTCAACAGAAAAATAGCATCAAGATCACAGGAAATGATAGCTACTTTATACTGCACTAGTGAGACCACATTTGGAATACTGCATCCAGTTCTGTTCACTACGATACAAAAAAGATGTTGAGGGCTTAGAAAGAGTGCAGAGAAGAGCAACAAAGATGATGATAGGGTCAGGAAGTTAAATTGTATGATGAATGGCTAAGCAAACTAGGTATGTTTAAGCTAATGAAGAGAAGGCTTAGGGGAGACATTAGAGCAGTCTTCTAAATCTTGAAGGGCTATCCCAAGGAAAAGAGCATTGATTTATTTTCCATAGCACCCAAGGCCAGGACAAGATGCAATGGAGAGGTGGAGGAAAAACAGAGGGATTTCCTGATAGCAAACATGATTAATCGGTGAAACAACTTGTTTTCCAGAGTTGTGGGTGCTCCATTGCTGGAGGTTTTCAAGAAAATATTCAACAACCATTTGTCCTGTCCTTGACTTAAGACCATAATTGACCCCAAAACCTATCTTGATAAGTGAGAAATGTGTTAAGTGACCTTTGTCCCATTTTACAACTTTTTGCCACATTTGTTAAGCGAATCACTGCAGTTGTTAAATTAATAACACAGTTGTTAAGTGATTCTGACTTCGCCACTGACTTCGCTTATCAGAAGGTTGCAAAAGGTGACCGCATGACCCTGGGACTCAGAAACCATCATAAATATGAGACAGTTGCCAAGTATCCAAATGTAAATCACATCATCCAAATGGATACATTCATCCTTATGGAAAAACATATTAAAGTGGCCTTCCAGCATGGCAGTTGCAATACATGAATGAGGGTTTGAGAGTAAACAGGTCTAAAGTATTAACATCCAAGCACAATTCCTAAGTACTTTGGAAACTAAGTTTAGATCATTTGGTATGTGTATATTGAGAATTTGTTTCAGCATCTCTCCTCTTTATATTGCACTGGAAGACAGACATATTCCTACTACAGGAAGGCAAGACCTCAAGAACCTTTTTGGGGGTTAGAAGGGAAGGATGGGAAGATACTTAAGACTAAGAAAGAAATTTACCTTCTCAGGTATACTTCTGTTTTGTCTCTATCATCTATTAATTTTGTCAAATAAGATCCTCAAGTCTTCTTATTTTAACCTTCAGTATTAGGGTGCACTGATTTTGACTGACTGAATGAAATCTTGTTTGTTTACTTTTGTGCTAGATAACTGAGATTTCCCCCTCTGTCTCTCTCTTTTAGCTTGAAGTACAGGCACCTCTAGGTAACATCATTGGATATGTGAAACAAAAGTGGCATCCATGCCATCCAAGATTTACTCTACAGAATGAGGCCAGAGAAAATGTTCTTAAAATTACTGCATCTTGTGTGCCTTGCCAATTCTATCAGGATGTTAATTTTGAGGTAAACACATCCTCCATTTACTATTTATTAATAAGGCCGTGGACTTGAACTATATACACTAATTTATTAATTTTATATGCCACCCATTTTACTCTGCAAAGCAATTCAGGGTGGCTGTATAAATTCTTATTTTTATTTTTTATCATTTCTAGATTGTCTGTTTAAATTGTAATTGTGGCTTTTTCTTATAATAATTATTCCAGAATATTTTTATTGTGGAGACAATTAACAATTCTGAAGGTTACAGATGAGATTACTGAGTTTTGTTTTTGATGAAATTCATGTTCTTATCAAGCTCTGTTTTTTCTAAGTTTTTATCTTCTTTTATATCCTTATAAATGAACCAGCAGTGTGCAGCAGCAACCAAAAAAGCTAATACAGTCCTGGGTTGTATAAACGGAGGCATAGAATCAAGATCACGCAAAGTATTATTACCGCTTTATAAAACCCTAGTAAGACCACACCTGGAATACTGCAGCCAATTTTGGTCACTATATCACAAAAAAGATGTTGAGAGTTTGGAAAAAAAACAGAGAAGGTGATCAAAGGCCTGGAGACTAAAACATACGAAGAACAGCTACGGGACTTGGGTTTGGCTAGTCTAAAGAAAAGAAGAAATAGGGGACACATGATAGCAGAGTTCCTGTATCTGAGGGGCTGTCACAAGGCAGAGGGGGCCAGGTTGTTCACCAAAGCACCAGAGGGCAGGACAAGAAACAATGGTTGGAAACTGATCAAAGAGAGAAGCAACCTGGAATTAAGAAGAAACTTCCTGACAGTGAGGACAATCAACCAGTGGAACAGCTTATTCCCAGAGATCGTGGGCTACTATTTTAAGTAATATATTCATGTTAACAGTCATAGTTTATGTGATAAAATGAGTTTAAATTTTTCCAGCTTTCTCAATCTTTTATCATTTATTTCCTTAATTTGGTGAGTTATTTTGAAAGATAACTTTGTTATCACTTGTCAGTTGTAATCCCAAATAGGAAAGAATAAAGGAATATATTTCAATTGAAACATATACCAGGCCAAAAGAAAAAAAACTGCCTTTTGTTCTGATTAGGATTGGGATTTACAAAATGACAAAAACACTATGACATTTTAAAAAAATAAAAATTTTCCTTGATGCAGAGTGGACTCATAGTAATCCAATAGTGGAATTAGAAATATTGAAAAAGACAAAAAAGTTGTTTTTAAAGTGGAATACAAATGGCCATGCCAACAGAATGATCCTTATAAGAATTTTTTATTTGTTATACAAAAGAAGTTGTAAAAGAGGTTTTAAAAATTAAAGGGGAAATGCAATTGATAAATCAAAACAATGACCTAGAATAGATAATGTCTTTCCATTGGATTTACAAAAGAGACTTGTTAAAGCCTTGAAGAAGCTTATGTGATAAGATGAAGAATTCAAGAGAAATCAATCTATATCAGTAATTGAATGAATTAAAGATTAAGATTTTTCAGAAATAAAAGGAAGAAATATAAAATTGGTTTATTTCATTAAGGGTAAAATAGAGCATTTTTATGAAATTCTGGCAACACATTTTAGATTTTTTTTGCTAATACCAGTGCTGAAAATTTGATCTTTTATGTATTTGCTTATAGACAAGAAATGGGTTATAGGAAGAAGATATATCTGTTTGTAATCTTATAGAAGATGAAAAGCTACCAAACTTGTTTATTCTTGTGATGAAAATTAGAAGCCACTTCTTTATGTTTTTTTTCTGTTTCTTTATTTCACTCTTTCCCTTTCTTTCATTTTTTTTCTTTTTTCTTTTTCTTTTTTCTTTTACTGTCCTTTCTCTCTCTGAGTATAGTTTGTATTTGTTTTTATTAGTGTAATTAAAATCTTCCGTAAAGATGTACGTATAGAATACTTATAAATCTAAAGGACTTGTGCTGATCACCTTGAAGTAACATGATGCTTTTCAATGAATGTAGTATTTATTTATATTGAAATTTCTTATTTAACTGTTTGAGATACTGTCTTGCTATCTGAGATATCAGTATGGGGAATTTAAACACTGGGAAAAAAGATGTAATAATTTGTTAAATATAATGTTTATATTAAAATGTTTAATACATTTTAGAAAGAATAAAATCTGTTCTTTTTTCTTTTGTTCTTTTTAAAATCAGGTGAAAACTGTAGATGGGAAATCTACAATTGGAAACATAGTAAAAAAATGGACTGGTTTAGCAAGAGAGGTTGCTACAGATGCAAGCATTTTTCAGATCCGCTTTCCAATGGATCTTGATATTAATATGAAAGCAGTCATAACAGGGGCTTGCTTTCTTATGGTAAGTCTAGGCCTAAAACATTACAATTCTGAAAACAATGGGTTCACGAAGCTAGTAAAAAGAATTTTGGACAAATTAGCATGGCCCATGAATAACATCTCCACTTTCTTTAGTGGCAGTACACAGGAGGTGTAGGATAGGAGATTGAAACTTGGTATGCCTAGGATTATAATTTAGACAGAAATCTTGCCTCTGCAACCTTAGCTCTAGCAGCTCAGACCATCCATTTAATCTGAGATTTTGCTATGCAGCTAGTTGCCTTAATCTGCACTGAATGTAGAGGTATAGCAGCGAGGACTGTGTGATTTAATCTCTTGTGAGGCAATAAGAGTCTGTTGGTCTTAAGAAAAATGTTTTTATGACATCAGCTCCACCACCTATTAGGTGAGTATACAGTATGTAGGTTAGATCCATATACTTTTAGGTTGATTAAGTTTCCAGGAAGGTGAAGATGGGGTGAAGATGGAGATTGCAAGAGGTAGTAGTTCACCTGTCCTCAAGAAAACATCATTTGATTCAACTCTTTTAGAGAATTACCAACTAACCCTCGCTTTTTGCTTTTGTGAATAACCTGTGGTGACATTGTGATAAGGAGTGAGGCATTTCTAGTTCTACTTAGTCTGACAGTAACCTTCTACACTACCAATCATCTTCGGAGGTTGGTAATAAGAGGAGACACTGTTTGCACTGGAGAGGTTATTAGATATTCCAAAAGTCTTCTCATACATTCAGGAGTTTGTAGGTTACTTCAGGAACTTCAGGTAACCTTCATTCAGGAGTAGCAGATGTAAAATATGAATAAACAAGGATTTTAGTCTGAGGTTTTTTTGACTAACATTTTTTCCTATTCTTTTACATTTTAGGATTTCATGTTTTTTGAACGTGGAAACAGAAGGAATGATCATCGACGTAGGCGTTAGTTCAAGTCAGGACATTAAGAGTCTTATCACACTGAATTAAGCTTGCAGGAGGATTTTTATTAAAGTTGCTTATTTCAATATTTACAATCATACCTTCAACTATTATACCATTTATGTCAGAATATTCCATATAACTCAAATTTTTTGTCAAGTATTGATATACAGTATATTGATATCCATATATAATAATAAAGATATATAGTATATAAATTTGGCTAATTTTCACTCTGCAAACAAATATACTCCATTTGCCATTTTTTACTGCTCTTATATATTAAGAATTGCCTTCTGTTATGTTTTCCTTTTTTATTTTATGTAATTACACTGTGTATTGCAGTACTAAAATGAACCAAAGTGGGTATCTCAATATTCAGACAATTAACAGACAAATTCAATAAAGTTGATATTTTCTGCTTTGAGTCATTTATTAAAGGAATCGTTAATACACTTGCTTCCTGAAGCTCTAACTTTAGTCCGCCCTCCAACTGGCAATCATATCCAATATCATAGAATAATATTATTTTCCTGAACTCTCAACCATATTTATGATTAAGTGGCAAAGAGTAGTAAGTGTGCAACTTCTTTTGAGAGCAAGAATAATTAGATTACCTTAATTGCTTGAGTCAGATTTATGTCCAATGTTTTAAAGCCAAACATCTTAAGGAAACCAAAAGACCTACTAGTCCTAGGAGAAAAAAAACTAGGAGTCATTTACGGCATACAGAATAAGGACTGTAACAGCTATTAAGTAGGACAGACAAAAGACTAGCAGAGCACATTCATTAGCACCAACTAGCAATCAGAAGAAATGATGAAAACTCCTTAATCACTAAACAGACTCGCTAGCACTGATAATGCTACCTACTTGGATAATGAAATATTTCAGGCATGTTCAGGGAGCAGCAAGGATTCCATAATTTTTTTAAACAGTTCTTTTAACTAAAAATATCATTTGATCATTTAAAAACTTTAAAGCACCCATATCTTGTCCTGGGAGATTTCAGTCTGCCTTTGCTTGATATGGAATTTGAAATAAATCTGGAGTCCATGGCCTCCATGACAACCATGAACCTAATCTGAGTTATTGAGGTCCTTTTTCCCAGAACACTTGTAAAATGATTAGAAGTTGGGGAAATATCTATCCATGCTCAGATTACTCTCTGGTTTCTTGAAATTGTAAAAATTCTTGAGGCTATAATGGGCAGATTGACTTAATCACCATCTGGAATGAGCAGGTGATGATGATCCTATCAGATTGCTCTGTTGTGGGGTTTTTTGGAATCATAGTGCATAACCCAGATAGACACAAAAGCCCTGGAATCGGCTGGAGGAAAATTTATTTTATAAAAGGGGATTATAAACTTGTAAATTTCTTGAGTTATTATCTAAATATATCACTCCTAGCATATTGCTTAACTTCTATGCCTTATTCCTATTATCTAGTACTCCTAATATCCTACATGTGAGCCCCCCTTCCAAACTAGGAAAAACACACACGGTTACTTCTGAATAGTATTCTTTATTATTCCTTATCCATAGAAAGAAATCTTGCCAAATCAGAGCAACAATTTGCATCACTATAGACGGACTCTCGGAATCACTAGGGAGGACTTTTATCCTCTTTTTCCCCTCCTGACCAAACATTTTATCTTCACCATCTCTGTGCCTTCTGGAATGAAGGGAATACAGGCTACATTTCACTACATACAGTATTTCTAAAACTATGCTTGTAGTACTAAACTTGCCTTACCTATTTTCTTTAGCCTCTGTATCGTCACTATAGGTTTAAAAACCACTTCCATCTATCATATTAATCTACTCTTATTTCTCTACAAAAAATTTCTAACCACTAATGGCTATATTTCTTTGTCACTAAACTCAATAGATCCTTAATTCAAATCTCTATGTAATCCTGTTGCTGTTACACTTTTTTCCTATCGAGTTTAGCTTTTTATCTAATTTCCTTTGTCCTTTACCTTTTCCTGAAAGGCCAAAGTTTTCAGTGTTTCACTATGGCAGAAGGAATGCTTTCTCTTTTCTTCCATAGAAGAGTGTTTGTCTCACTCCCAACCTGAGGAAAGAAGGATGATTCTCACCTACCCACCCAGTTTTCCAAGCTGTTTCTTCTTTTCCTGTTGCGTCCTTTGCAGCAAACTCTGGCTTTTCCTTCTGGGTTTCTTCAATTTTAGTGCTGGACATTTTGCTTTGGTTTGCTCATCACTATGTGGCTCCAGAGTTCCAATAAATTCAACTTGTTTTTTTTTCCCTTCCAGATACAGAAGTGCAACTATTGGTGCTTTTTTGGTAGCTGAGCCATCTTGAAGGGCTGAAAAGGGAAGGAAGAAATGAGCACAGGCACATGCAATGCATCAACAGGAAGCCAACACTAGATTAAATGGTGTTGGACAATTTCTGGCTGGCCTTCAACCTTTCCATTTTTGGTTGGGCCAGGGTGACTCAGATTAGTTGAATTTCAGCCCTGGATATAATAGTAAGGCAGCATTGATTTTTCTAGTGGAGGACCTCTGGTGGGATAAGGAACATGTAGTTCTTAATTTCCTGGAAATTTTTTATACTATTGACCATAGTATTCCTCTGAACCTATTTGAGAGTTTGGAAGTATGATTTTAATAGTTTGGCAGATGCTGTCCCATATCCTGGAGTCTGAGGGCTTATTATGCACTTATCCTGTATTGTCTATTAAGGATAATTTTAAATGTTATTGTATGTCTTCTTGAGTCATTGCTGATTACAGCTTGAATAATTAAAGTTAGTCATACAAAATAAACATGATTTGGAACCACGTATATATATACCTGTAAAAAAAAAAAGACAAGCAATGAATGTAATGCTTTAAGTAGAAAACTAGATTAGGAGTTCAGGGAAATGACACCAGTTTTATTCTTGGCAAATGTGTGGCTGGTACACATCTGTGATGTGTGAATGACCATATCTTTTTTGTTGCAACATTCATAAGCCTAAAAAGATGAATTACTTTTATTCTAAACCCTAACCCAATTTCTTTGGGCTTTCAACTAACATCCAGTGTGACCCTGCTCTGATTTGTAACTGTTTTTATTCTTAATTTATTTTGATAAAAGCTGCCACCCAATTGTATTGTTCAACAAGCCATGATTTTGAAATCATTGCTTAAAGGAATATGTGATCTCAATCACAGCTTTATTTTACCAGAAGGACTTTCATGACACAGAGCAGCCACTTCTTCAACAACATGATGGTACAATTCATCCAAGGAATCCAAGGTAAAAATAATACTTGCATATCTCTGGAATTCTGTGTTTATTTTTCTCAGATTTCTCTGAAAGAAGCCTCCAATAAATGTGTAAAATATAGGGAGTTATGCAAATTGGATTCTTGTAAATTCATGTGATATACAATAGATTACACAGAAGAAACTTTACATAATATTGTTATCTTATCTATTACTACTGAGATACATTCAAATATTGCTTAGACTTTCTATTCATCAAGTGGTCCGCAGGGGGCACTGCTGTTATAGTTTTATGAATATTTCTGATTTTTCTTGGAGTTCCATTTCCTCACTCCCAGAAATACATATGCTATTTAATATTCTAATTATAATTCTGTATAAATACAATAAAATTATTTTACAGCTGTTAGAAAGGCATACATATATCCAAACAAATAAAATACCAGATACTTTGTCAAAATCTGTTTCCAATTTCTCATTTTTTTCACTTTGAAAAAAAAGGTCCTATTTTCAGTTTATTTTAGAATTTCATATTTTAAACTAATTGTTTTTACACAGTGAAGAGTGTTAATGTCATTTCTCTGCAACTTTTTATCATTTGGTAACTTCTTCGTGGCTAATATAATCATAATTAGAAGCAACAATTTATCCCCTTGGGTTAAAACTCCTGCCTCTTGCAGGATCTCTAATTTAAGTGTTAAATGGCTGTCTAATCTTTGCTTTCTATCTGAAAAGATTCCTAGGAATTCCTTGAAATAACTTCTCTGAGGATTTAACCAGAACTAAGGAATGAATTTGCTTTATTGGAGACCCATTTCTTCACTGACATTAAATATTATAATGTATGCATTATGTCAGACTGCAGGTCCATACAAACTATTTCTGAAGAAATTCCATACTAAGTTAAGACACTGAGCTTTAGCTTTACAATAACATTATGGATATTCTTTTCTTGTTTTTTTCCCCTCTTAAAGTGTTAATTTGTTTTGTTGACTACTAGGTATCTTCTTATTGTACTATTATTGTTGTATCAGTTTTTCTTCTGCAGATTTCTCCCAGGAAAAATTTAAGAAAATTAAAAAGAAGAAATTATTTGCAACTCCTGACTGAACATCAATATAAGAAAGAGAGAAAGATTGTCTTGCCTCAGTGGGATTGTCCCACCCCACTTATTCTGCCAGAAAAGGCCATTTATGGACTCTGTCAGCCAAGGAATTTCATCTGCTGGGATCTAGGAGAAAATGTTGTGCTCCCTGCCCTTTAGAACATCTTGCCTCAGGAGGTGAGATTCTCCTCACCCTTTTGGCTTTCCCAAAGGGCCTTAAAACTTGGTTCTGCCAGCTGGCCTGGGATCCTGATAGGGGCACTCTGGCCTGGAGATTGGTGCAATGACATAGAAGGCACCATCTCTGCTCTGCTCAAGACATGGGTTTTTAGTCCATATATAATTATTGTAATTTTTAAATTATTTTTATAATTGTTCTTACATTTATAGTTTTATTGCATTGTAAGCCACCCAGAGACACTTTGGGTAGTAAGATGGGCGGCATATAAATTCAATTAATAGGCATACACAGTGTTGCTAGGAGATAATTTTTTGAACTGACCATATCATAATTCTTTCAGCATAAAGCCCTGGTATACGTAGTTTTATAAATGTCATTTTATTTCCCTTTTGCTTCTGGCCAAGGTGAAGAAAGAAATAGTAACTAGCTCTTCAGGGTGGACAAGGAATTACTGTGTTCTGTGTATCTTTTCCACTGACCAAACCATAGGAAAACAAGGATAGCTGTGAGCTAATATGTGCGGAAAGAAATGAAAGAAAAAAAGAAATGTCTTAAAAGTAGGACTTTTAAATAGTAATTAAAATAAACAGCAGTTGAAATAAATATGATCCTATTAGTGTTTCAGAAAAGTTTGAAAGTAGTTAAAAAAAGGTTTTGGAACATAAATATACCAGAATTCTGAATGTTCCTTTCAAATACTCACCCACAGGATATGGTAGATGAAAAAACCAATATGTGCTCAATTGGTAAAAACATGATTTTGCATTTAATGAGGCTTCTTCTGAATAAGAAAGGATTGTAATAAATGTATTACTTCTTTTTTTAAATATAGCTATTTTGTAAATCCATCCTTACTACAAAACAAACTAGGTAGAATCAATTATTTTCCATAGAGCCACAG